ACTAGCCCCTAATTTAGTGTTTATAAATACTCTATTGCCACATGAATTTCTCATACTTAATAAAATAGTTTAATGTTTTAATATTTATAAAATGCATTTAATTATCTGTTTAAGCCACTGTTTTAATTATCATGGTGCATTTAATTATTTTATTTTTCTGTAGTTTCTCTACCAATATTACCTATGATTTAATTGCCACATTTAGAACATTTTAGTTTTAACATTTAAAAACTTTTGTTGTTTGACTTCATTTTAAATTTGAATTTGAACGGGTTTCGAACTGACGCGAGTTTATCAACAGTAACCGAGGTGACGTGGCTTCATTAGCGGAGGTTCACTGTAGCTTAATTATCCGGGCGTCACATGCACACCCTGGGGTAGGCCTTCACGTCCAAGCCCACTAAAAGCATGCATGTCTAGCTCTACGTGAGCTGCATGCTTGTCTTGCTCCACGTGAGCTGCCTGCTTGTCCGCCTCAACCGAAGCCATGGGTTGCCGGCTCATCACAGGCGTGACCGGACGTCCCACTATGCCTCGGGTGGCCTGCACCGGCTTGAAGACGACCGGCTTGGCCGCCGCCGTCCACGTCGGCGGCGGCTGCGACGCTACCTTCGCAGCAGGTTGTAGGTGCACTGAAGAAGATTTCGGGCACCCCGCCGAGCCACCGGTGGCTTGCACCGACTGGAGGGCAGTGGACTCCAATGATGCCGGCTGAGAATGCGGCGCCGGCTGCGATGCAAACAAAGCGCGCGGTGAAGAAGTTGAGGACGACTCATGTGTATGATCCCGCGGCGATCTTTCGAGAGAACTACTCAAAGTAGAGTTGACTCTAACATTCACGACAAGCTCCATGCCTCTTGGCGTCTGCGGCGAAGAGTTAAACGGAGTAACCGCCCAAAGCACAGGACCACCTCTTGTTGCACCACCAGATCCAGCACTCGACAGTTCCCGGCGTTGAACTTGAGTCACATGAGTGTTATCCTTCGGGGCTAAACTAGACGACGGATGGTTTGAAGGATTTCCAGTGTGTTCCGAAGTGTCCATCTCATCATCCTTCTCCTTAGCGCCGCTATCATCGTCAGCATCATCAACCTTGCGTCTCCAAATGAACGGGACAAAGTCAGGGTCCGGAATGTATCCTGTCGGCTCCCTCCTGAACGTGAACGTGTAGCCCTTGTGCTTAACCACCACATCTGAAGCAACAAAAGGCCCAGCGTCGTCCTTGTCCTTTGACAAAATCTGAGAGTTAGTCATACCCACGAGAATACGAACAACTCCACGGCGACGCGGGCTAATAAGATCCACGTCCAAGGTCTTGCCCATCAAAGTACCCACGGCCCATAAGCCCCAAAAATGGCGCACCGTATGGGGAACCCCCTCGACATGGAGCCAAATCTTCTGGAGCTCTAGCTTATGTGGGACCTCCTGAGACCTCCATGCGGTAACGGTCATCTGAGAATTAACAGATGGAATGGTCATCTGTATACCATCCACCCTGTCCAAGTCCTCGAAAGACGGAAAGCTAACAAGGTATGCATCATGCCCGTGTTGAATAGCCTCCCACTTCCATTGATCATGTACCGGGCATCTCCTAGCAATCTGGCTCTCAACAATACTAGACGGTACCATTAAACCGGTAACCTGAACTCGGGCGATCGAAGACTGTGTTGGTGCTAAGTGATCTTTCACCATGCAATCAGGCAACTTGACAAAGTGCATCTCCTCAGCACCAACTCCCGAAACAAAAGCATTGGGTCTAGGGAGTTTGAGAACCGAACACTGCAGCGTTGGATGAGCGATTTTGTCACAAATATAACAGTAGTGTTGCACAGTGCAATCCTTCGCTGCATGTGTATCAACCGCACACTTCCAGCAATGTATCCCTTTCTTAGCCTTGTACTTGGGCACTGTATCCACCTGCACATCAGACACTGGAGCAGCCAACGGTGTGACATCGACAGTAGCAGAGCCGTGTGGCGTATTCTGCACAACCTGTTGATATTGCCTATGCTGAAATGATTGCATGTGCTGCTGCGGTATGGATTGCTGCTGAAATTGTTGTTGAACTGGCACATGCTGCGGGGGGTGATGAAAACCATGTTGCAAATCTCCGCCCGCATGGTGTTGCTCCTGCTGAGGCGGCTTCTTTTTTTCGTTTTTGAGCCGGCTGAGCCACAACCCCACCGGGATGGAATAGCGGAGGGGCGGATACCCAAGTTGGCGGAACCCCATACATGGACGGTTGCCCTCCGGCGACGACCGTACCGTACGTCAAGGCATACTACCCTCCCTGGCCATACCCAGGGGGCTGCTGCAGTGGTGGGCCATAGCTGTAGACCAGCGCTGGACCCCGCTGCTGATGTGGAGGACCGGAGTATCCCGGCGCCTGAGCCGGAGGACGCGAAGGAGCGGGAGTCGGCCCCACGATCGAAGGGGCACGAGGGTTTGGCCCTCCCGAGGCTACGGAGCCACGCGCCGTCAGAGGAATGCCCGCCATGGGGCGCTGAAGCGTCGCCGCGACCGCCGCGTAGGAGCGGGCAAAGACCCTGGCGCTTGGGGGTGGAGCCGGAGTTGGAGTCGGTGACTGTGCGGTGTGCAGAGGTTCGGCGGCGGACGAGGGCGACGATGAATTGAGCGATGGAGTTGCTGTGATCGCGGTCTGCTGATTAGGGAAACCTGCCCAGATCGCCCGCATACCCGGCTTCAGAAAGGCCCAGGAAAACACTGCCTGGCCCGTCTCCGTCGTTGCATGCATGGGCCCAAAGCCCGAGGCCACATGAGTTTGAATTCCCAGTGATCTCGGCCCCGAACCCGGCTCCCGAACGACCTTAGATCCCGGCGAAGTTTGCGTCGCCGGTGTACACTGCCGATTTGTCGAGGTGGGGCTCCGCCTGGCCGCGTCTAAGAACTACCCCAGCACCGGTGGAGGCGTCACCCGGCGCGGCGGCAGGGGTCCTCGCCAAGCCCCCATACGCGGCGGCCGGGCCATCCTCATACCGGCCAGCGTCAACACAGGCTTGCAACCGACAAACTCCGGGGCCACCGATCCCGACGGTGACCTCGAACCTGCGATCTCTGATCCCTCAGCGTCGTCGATCCCCGATCCATCAGGAATCAAAGACTCCCTCGGCGACACCGGCGACCGATGCTCCCAGAAGCGAGACGCCGGCGTCGGGAAGCCTGCATCGTTCCAGAATTCCTGGACCAATTCCGCCTCCGTTTTCTTCTTCCGGCGATCCACTGTGGTCCACTTCCCACCTCCAGCATCCTCTCGAAGCACTTCTAGTGCTAGCTGCACGCCGACAGCCTGCGCATCCTCCTCGTCGGAGGACTCAATTTCCGATCCCAGGCAAGAGAACCTCGAACCAGACGAGACCTCCGTCGCCGGCGACGTCATCGGCCCGGCAGATGCTGGCGGGGGTGCCAGGGTCAGACGCCTGCCCCGCATAGTCCGCTAGACGAAAGAGTTCGGTCGCTGAAGTGCTTATGTAGTAGAAACATAAGATTCTTTCCTGAGTGATTAGAGTGGATTCAAATGTTCCTATTGAAGGTAGTGCAAATGAATCCTAAGAAAAGACATGTTTGATTCAGGTAGTATATTATCTGGTGCTCTATCCGTAAAAAAATATAAGAGCGTTAGTGATCTAAATACTTTTATATTTCTTTATAGGGGGGGGGGGTATATTATAGTGTGATTATGCAAAGATCCACGTCTGTCCTTAATTTAACTCATAATTAAACAATAGACTTGTTTGTTGCAGACTATAAAGACGTGTACGATGTTTGGCATGGTCAAACTTTGTACTAGGTATCGCGAGCATTCATCTTATAGCTACGAGATACTCCCTCCGTTTCAAAATAAATGACCCGGCTTTGTATTAAAGTTAGTACAAAGTTGAGTCATCTATTTTGGAACGGAGGAAGTATATGTTTGTCGGATAGTGTGGGTAGCATCTATCTGTCTGTCTGTCTGTCTGTCTATCTATCTATCTGTCTGTCTATCTGTTTGTCTGTCTATCTATTCTATCCTCTATCTATTCCATCTGTCTATCTATTTATTTATCATTATATACTAAAAGCAAACTACAGGGTCTCATAGAGGTATCACATTAAGTCACACCATCCAAATTAACCTAATCGTTGAATCTTAAATTTGTGGCTAGACTTTCATGCAGAACTATTAGTCATCTAACCATGTCAATGTAATCACGTTCATGATTTATATTGATCTATTATATATACTAAAAGCAAAATACAAAGTATCATTGAGGTACCAAGTTAAGCCACATCATCAAAATTAAGTTAATCATTCGATCTAAAATCTGTGGTTAGATTTCAATGCAAGTTTATTAGTCATCTAACCGTATTGGTGCAAACATGTTCACCATTTGTATTGAGAAGGTTATATTCATATACGAATGTGGTCGATAGGGTGTGGAAACGGATTACCCATAAGACATAACTATTTTGTATAATATAAATCTAAATATATTGTAAAAGAAAAATATAGGGTCTGATAGAGGTACCACTTAAGCCACAACATTCAAATTATCTTAATTGTTGGATCTAAAATATACAGAAAGCGAATACGGTACCAAAGAGGTACCACATTAAGCCACATCATCCAAATAATCTAATCATTGGATTCAAAATTTGTGGTTAGATTTTAACACAAGATTAGTAGTCAACTAACCGTGTCCATATACCAGTTTTCACAATTTATATTGAGAAGGATACATTTCATACACGAATGTGGCCGACCAGACATGGAACCTGATTACGTTTTTGCACAAAATGATCCAGATTTATTATAAAAGTTCATAAAAAATACAAAGCATCCTAAACATAATCAAAATTTCATTGAGAACCCTACACCACCAAACGACCACTACCTCCGCCAGTATGAGCCACCGACGCACCATTGTCGCCGCTCCACTATTAAAGCCGGCTTGACCTTATCGATGATAATCGGGAAGTCTTCGTGCGGGCGCCCCTAAGGATCAGCGCCCAATAGCCGCAGTCGTCGCCATTGACCCCTCTTGACATATCTTTCTAGAACAATAGGTACGTTCTGAAAAAAGTGAGAGAAGGAAAGTACATACCTTAGCTAGCTAGAACATAGTGCCGTCGATAAAGATGTGTCAGGATATGAACTGATCAATACATGTATGCAACAAAGTATGCTGATATACGCATATGTGTGGCCAAATATACAACTCTATTAAAGGGAATAGTTTTGCTAAAGCTCATCTAGATGTGCTCTAAATATTGCATATCTAAGTCATATGTCATTGATTTTATACTACGATTCGTGCAATCATTTCTTTTTTTCTTTATCTTTTATCTTTTTAATTTGATTGAGTCACTTGGATATGTAATAATTAGGGCATATCTAAATGTGCCCTAGACACACCCCGGAACCACATATCAAATTTATGCTTTAGACGTAAGAATGTACTAGCCATGCCACGCATGGTGGCACACCGCCTTCTGAAACATTATGTGAGAAATCATGTTTGCGGTGATGTTAAACTAAAGATTGATTTTGCAAGCTGACCTTTTTTTTTGCGACGGGATTTTGTAAACTGATCTAATGGTCCATCTTTATCTTCTTCCTTTGCTTACTTTTGTTTATCATTTTTTCTTCTATCTCCCTCGCTTCTTTTTACCTCTCGCCTTTAAAGTTTAAACTATCATTTCCTATACCATCGTCGCCTTCGCCCGTGCCACTCCCGCGAGCGGCCCAGGCGGAACCCTAGATCGCCGCCGCCGCTCCCTTCCTTCGCCTTCCTTCTCCCTCGCCGCCGCCAGGGGACGCCGCCGGGCAAAGCCCGCGCGTGCGGCGGCGGCGGCAGGGCTCCCTCCCTCCTCGCGAGGCTCCTGGGCGGCGCGGGACGGCCGGCCCTCGCGGCAGCGCTCGGCTCGGCGGCAGGTCGGGTCGCCAGCGGATCTGCGGGGCTCCCCTTTGGTGGCGCTGCGATGATGGCGGCGGCGTGGTCTGCGTGGGGCGGCGAGGCGCGGGCTCCTCCTCCTCCCGATCTGATGGCGCCGCGGTGGCGCCGGCGCTCGGGCGTGCGGCGGGGTCCGCGAGGATGGTCGGCGCGCGACGTCTCCCTCCCCGATCTGATGGCTCCACGGTGGCGCCAGTGCTCGGGCGGCGGTTGGCGTCGACAAGCGGTGGCGGGCGCTGGGATCTCGGCGGCGGTCCCTGTGCGCGGTCGGCAGCTTCGTCTCTGACCCGGACGGCGCGGGTGATGGCGGCGGCCCGACGTGGCCGGCGATCTGGATGCGGTGGTGCCGGTGGCTCGCTGATCTGCCGGTACTCCAGAGTCTGCCTGGTGGTGCTGGTGGTGACGGCGGCCCGTGCACGAGAGTTGAATTCCTTCGAACTGATCTGGGTGAAAACTTGCGTTCGGCTTCTGCTAAGGCCGGCGGTGGCAGCGCTATCTGCGTCGTTCCCTTCTTGAAGGCATCGCCGTGGAGAAGTTCAAGGCCACTCTCTGCTACCTCCGGGGGAAACCCTAGATCGGATGACGGCGGCGCTCTGGTGTCGTTCCTCCCTTGGGGGCGTCATTTTTGGAGGTACACACGTGATCGAGGGACCAGAGGACGGATTCTTTGGTGGAGCGGTGCTTCATCCTACACACTGATGGTGACGGATCTTGACGGCGTGGCGCAGTGCAGATTCGGAGTTCGCTGTGGGAGGATGGACTCGCGCAGGAGGACGGCGCTGTCGGGCGTCGTGGTGGCATCGATGGCAGAGAGACCTGGCACGGTACATGCAACAGTACAGCTCTGAAGATGGATTTTGTGGCAGGTGGCTGCGGCGGCCTCATACCCGGCAGGCGTCCTGGTTGAGGAGTGCGCCGGACTGGTAGGTGCCCCATACCCGGCAGGCGTCCTGGTTGGGACCTCAGGTCTTAGATGTTTAAGTTTGGCTGCGATGTCTGTTTGGTATTAGGCCCAGACTATCTGCGCCCCTTCATCAATTGGATAGGTGTAGCGACAGTTGTTGCTTAGACGGTGGCTTTAGTCTTACTGTTGTATGGCTTTGTAAGGTTTTATGATAATAATTAATAAAGTAGCCGTATGCATCGCCCAGATGCAGAGGCCGGGGATCATCCTCCTTTTCTAAAAAAAAAATCCTCGCCTTCGTCAATGCCACCACCTCGGCACATCCTATTCGGCCGCTGCCTGCACTTGATCAAGCGTTCGTCCTAAGCTCCCTTGGCTCCCCGGCGCCTAATCACACCAACCTTGATCCTGACCGCTCCAGTGTGGTTTCTTCCCCACACCAACGGTTGCTACATGTCATGCATTAAGGGCTCCACCTCGTTGTTCACCACCGACCAGGAGGTCGAACTTGATTGCACTCTAAAAAGTAGGCTATCATGTTTTAACAAATGTGAAAGAGGTGGGGTAATGTATAAACATGAAAAGCAACATGCAACCATGGGCGCGACATGGGATGCTGGAACCGGCTCGGCCGTGAGCTGGAACCATGACGCCCAAATGCTGGAACCAGCATCCGTCCTTGCTGCAAATCGACATTTTTTTTGCTGGAACCGACTGCCCCAGAGCTGCGATGGCACGCCACTGGAACTGGCACTCGGGGGAGCTACAACCGGCTTTGCCGAGAGCTGGAACCAGCAGTGCATAGTGCTACGACCGGCAGAGGTGTAGTTGGGAGAGAGGTATTTTTGCTGGAACCATGTGTCAATTTTGCTGCATCCGGCAATTTTTTTGCTGGAACCGGTGATGAGACCAACACGAACAGGCAACATGGAGAGTTGCATCCGGCAATTTGTTTTGCTACTATCGTTGATGGACGAGAATGACGGGGGAGCTGCATCGACCTTTGTTTTGACGGCGAGATATGACGGCGGTGAGTTGCAACCGGCGAAGACGGCGAGCAAGATGCAGAGGCATGTGGCATGCCGCGTTCCTTTTTTTTCTCCCCGCAAGATGTGCAGAGGACGAAGGGGGGGCAGAAGATTTGTGCGGGATCGCATGGTTGGTCACGCACATATCGGGCGGCTAGCGACAGACCGGCCGAAAGTTGGGCTGGCGCACCGGAGCCTAGCAGTATAGTACGGTAGATTGACTAGTAGCACCACAGTTTTTTCTTCCGGGCAGAAACGAGCTTAGAAAAAGACTTTGGAGAGAGATGCACGTACCCATCTGTCTGAAAGTTTGAGGAAAGGCCGGTCGGTGCATCGTAAAAATCAGCCTTCGTCAAACGCGGAGCGCGACAAATGGAGGCGAAACTCATCCCGCACTTGACCACCGGCCCGTGCCCGCCCGCGTCCCGTGCGCGTGTCAGTCCAGTCCAACGCCACCCGGATCCGATCTCGTCGGATAGCTGCGTGTGCTGGACGGAGAGCCCAGAAGCGCTCGCTCCATCGGCCGCCAGCCGGCCACGCAGTCCCGTTCCCATTCCCACTCCCAGCGAAGCTCCGTCCGCCCGCCGGTGAAAACCTCTCGCCAGAATAAAACACGCGCACCAGCAGCAGTTCGGCAGCTCGCCAAACATTCCTCCTCCCTCTCTCCGTCGCGTGGCTCCGGCCACCGCGCGCGCCGCGGCAAAGAAGACCAAGCCCACCGGAGGCCGCAATCATTCCCGTTCCACTCGGCGATGGACACGGCGGCCGCGCCGAGGCGGCACCAGCAGCACCCGGCGCTGGGCGGTGGGCGGCGTAGGGGGCGGCGCGGGGGCGTGGCGCCGGTGCGGTGCTCGGGCTCGCCGGCGCAGGAGTTCGCAGCGCTGGCGTCGGTGTTCCGGCGGCGGCTGGTGGTGGGGGCGAGCACGGCGGCGGCCGCGGCCGTGGGGGCCAACTTCGGGGGCGTCACCAGCTTCCTCCTCGGCCTCTCCCCGGAGCTCGGCCGCTCGCTCCGGCTCGACGTGCTCTACCCCGTCGGCGGATTCACCCGCTGCCTCGACTCCGACAGCGGATTCGGTACTGACTTCCTTCCTCTCCTGCTTATCAATTCTTGGTTGAGCAAATTGAGCTGCTGCCATTCTCTTCTCCTCAAGGGGTTGAGCCGTCCTTGTCATCCATCACGCCATTTTGCCAATTCTGCCGAGCTCAAAGCTTCCCGATGCTAGGCCATACACTGTAACCCATTCGAATCAACATGGTTCACGGCAATAATCATTCATGAATTCATGCTCTGTTGTCACTGAGCGCACGTTTTAGAATGCTTGCTGACAGCATTGGCAACTCAAGTTTTGTTCAGAATGAGATTAGTGGTTATGCACTTCACACCGAGACTTCTCTGAATGCACGTTTAATCATTCACATTGACCGGGCCGGGTTATCATGCTCAACTATTCGCACTGAGACTTCTCTGAGCGCACGTTTACAATGCTTGATGCTGATGGCATCAACAGCTCAAGCATTTTTCAGAATAAAATTAGTAGTAACCAGCCACGAAAGAGGAAAAATAAGCGTGTCGATTTGAGAAAAGCTGATTTGACTGGCATTCTGGAAATTTGGTGTTCGGTCCGGGTTGATGCTCCTGCCATCAGCCACCAAATAAAATTCAAGGCAACCCTGCTTGTGCATGTTGCTATCAAATTGCAACTTTGTGCCCCCACCAAAAAAGTACATAAACTAGTGATGCCAATTAGTTGTGTTGTGTTCACATCCCACCCACAGAAAAATGAAGAAGAAAAGCGTATAATTCCTGAATTACCTTTACTTACTCCCTGCTCACTAGAGGAAAAAGAAGAAGAAAATTATATAATTCCAGAATTAGCCTAGTCTTTTAGTTCTTGTTGGTTCTGGAATATGTCATCGGACCAATGGGCAAAGGGGCACCTTCAGTTTAGAGTTTAGACATCTCCCTATATGTCTTTTTTCTACAAGAAATTGAACCTTGTCCTTTGTGCCACAGATTAGCCTGCCCTTTTGTTCTGGTTGGTTCTGGAATATGACATTGAGGGGCACCTTCAGTTAGACATTTCCCTGTATTTTTTTCTACTGAAAAATGATTCTTGTCCTTTGTGCCACAAACATGAGTGGCTACAAAAAATGTGGTCCTTGCAGCTACAATCTACTACACCCATCTGCTATGTCATGCCTCCAATGGGATTGTTTGGGTGGATTATGAGCTATCTGCTGCTGCGTTTAGGGCCAGGAGCTGAATGCCACATGTGCTCCATGTCAGCACCACTGATCATTGATGGCATCTCGTGGCAGATTCTCAACAAGATAACATGTTTTGGATGTTCCTTCCGTGGAATGTTTTCCCCGGTCTAGGACAATAGGGCGAGTGTGGATGCTTCCTAGCATCGATAAGATTCATCATGTGCAATATCTTCTATGAAATACTTGTATACATACGCTAGTTATGCCAGATTATTAACTGTAATTTCTCTGAACTCTGCAGAGTTCATCTATCCAGCAAACTGGGTTGGAGACCAAACAATACTATACAATCAAATTAAGAAAGCAGAGCTGCAGAGATCACTAGACCCTCCGCCATTGACAAGTGGGAGTTCTCCATCTCGACCTCGGAACGTCAGTGGACCGGTGGCGGCTTTTGGCCCTCCGGGATCCAACGGGGAGCTCAATGTCAGCGTCATTGTGTCGACCGTTCCACAAGACTTCTCGTAAGTATACATATATGTGATTTCGGTTTCTTATTGAAATGAGCATTAGCATTTCTATCTTAGCGAAGGAATCTTCCTGCTGCTTTAATAGTAAACTTGAGTTCATGTTTGAAACATGATCATAAAATTCCTGTCACATTAACGTTACTCTTCCACTGAAAATGAGTAGAGTGTACCGCTATTATGTCATAGTGTTCTCTAAAGTAGCATTGAAATTCTTGGAACAGGATCGAGTCTTTCGGTGGTCCTAAAGATGTTGGGGAAGTGGTGCTGAGAAGGATCGCAAGGACAAAACGGAACCCAGATATCAGTGCTACTCTCATTGATGCTGCATTGAGAGAAGACACCGTGAACAATGTGAAATACTACAAGCTAGAGTTCCGAGTCGAAAGCCCTTCTTTTCGACGGCACAATGTGGCGGTCTGCTGCGCGAGAGACGGCAAACTGTACACCTTGAATGCCCAGGCGCCGGAGTCGGCATGGAGATCGGTTAAGGAAGAGTTCTTTGCGATGGCGGATTCCTTCAGCCTAATGGTTGATGTTTGATCTTGTAGATACACACACAGTTTTGTATCCATGACCCTTGGACCTTTTATCCACTAGCTTGTAATTTCGCTCCGGTAGGTCATGGTTTTGTTTAGCCAAGGAGTGAAATGTAACATAAATAAATATTTCTGTATCGATGTTCTTGGTGACATTCATGTCTGAAGTTTTCTTTTTACAAGTCTTGGGTATCAAGGTTTTGTCAAGATCAAGAGAAATGTAACAGAAATGATTCTGTATCATAATCTTGTTGTTACACACATATATGGACTTATTGTTTGGACAGAGAACATATTCTTGTTCGATGATGCTGCGGTTTGAACTTTTAACCAAACATCTCTTGATTTCTCTGAAGAATTATTCAAAAATCAGAATTCATAGCTGAAGATGAAGTTTGCTGCTGATTCAGACGTACTTGTCGGCTATCTCCACGAGGAGGTCGGAGAGCTCCCTGGGCTTGGAGAACATGGGCATGTGATCGGCCCCCTGGAGCCCCCGCACCTCCGTGCCGGGGGTCCACGACGCCATCCGCCGCTGGAACTCCGGCGACCACGAGGCGTCCTCCTCGGCGATCACGTACACGCGGCTCACCGCGCCGTACCTCTCCGCCGTGAGGACCCCCTCCCCGTTCATCGCGGCGTCGTCCACGAACTGCCGCGACGGCCTCACCAGCATCGTCGCCAGCGTCAGGTCCTCGGGCGGGCTGAGCTGATACAGCCGCCGCGCCATGTACTCCGGCCCGAGCAGGAACGTCTTGCAAGCGCGCTCCGGGTCGTCGCCGCCGGTGGTCTCGATCACGCTGTCCATGAAGAAACCCGGGCCCCTTTCTTGCGCAAACTACATCGAGTGTTGTGTTAGGTTCGTTCATGGTGGGGGGGAGGAGCTGTGGATCGAGTGGGCGCGCGCGGCGCTCACCTGTTCCGAGACGAACTTGAGGGGCTTCCCGGCGGCCGGCATGGCGGCGGAGGCGAAGACGGCGACGGCGACCCTGTCCGGGTGCGCCTGCATGGCCAGCGCGAGGCTCTGGCCGCCGTAGCTGTGGCCCACCAACACCGCCTTCTCCCCGGGCGGCAGCGCCGCCAGCGAGTCCAGCAGCGGCCGGCTGTACTCCTCGAACGAGCCCACCTCCTCCGCGCGCCCCGGCCTGGCGCCGCACGCGGCCATGTCGAGCGCGTCGACGCGGTGGCCGGCGGACCGCAGGGCCATGGCCACCCTGTACCAGCTCCACGCGCCGTGGCAGACGCCGTGCACGAGCACGAACCGGTGGCCCCGCGGCCGCTCCTCGCCGGCCGCGCTCTCCATCCGGGCCAACGAACTCTCTCTCGCTGGTACAAATCCCCTGGACTGGATCGCGACACAAGGAGGACAAGTGCGGTGGTAGTCCACGCCACATGATCACGTCCATTTCTCCACTTTTGTACGAGTGGTGGTTGTGCTCTACGAAAAGTATTTTTGATTGTGACATGGCTTTGGAATAATGTACTGCTAGTCCATTTCTACACTTCTTTAGCTGTCGCCGGCGAACGGCAAACGGCAGCCAGTACCGGCGATGAGCTGATGGCTAGCTCAGATGTACTTGTCGGCGATCTCCATGAGGACCGCGGCGAGCTGGTGGGGCGTGGAGAGCATGGGCATGTGGTCGGCACCCTCGACGGCCGCCACCTCCACGCCGGGGCACCGCGACGCCATCCGGCGCTGCGACTCCGCCGCCCACGTCGCGTCCTCCTCGGTGACCACGCACGCGCGCCTCACCGCGCCGTACCTGTCGGCGGTCAGGACGCTCTCCGTCATCGCCGCGTCGCCGAGGAACCACCGCGCCGGCCTCACCAGCGCCGTCGCCAGCGCCAGGTCCTCGGCCGGGCTTCGCTGGTACAGCCGCCGCGACAGGCGCTCGGGGCCCAGGAGAAACGTTTCTGCCGCGCCGATCACCGCGGGCACGCTGTCCGTGGCGGCGTCCGTCGCGGTTTCCTCCATGATCTGGAACGAAATGGCAGAGAAGATTCAAAAGATTGTCATCGATCGTATCGATGGATCTAACCAATCGAGTGGAAGATCACGTCAGTACTAGAAGTTCAGTCGGTACCTGCGAGAGTAGATGTGACATGGGGCAGCCGGCGGCCGGCATGGCCGCGGCGACGAAGACGGCGACAGCCACCTTGTCCGGGTGCGCCTCCATGGCCAGCGCGAGGCTGTAGCCGCCGTAGCTGTGGCCGACGAGCACCACTTTCTCGCCCGGCGGCACCGCGGCCACGGCGTCGGTTAGCGGCCGGCTGAACTCGGCGAACGAGCGCACCTCGTCGACGCGCACCGGGCTGGCGCCGCACGCGGCAAGGTCGGGCGCCGTGACGCGGTGGCCGGCGGAGCGCAGGATGGTGGCCAGCTTGTACCAGCACCACGCGCCGTGGCAGAGGCCGTGGACCAGCACGAAGTGGCGCTCCGGTTTCTTGACGACGCTCTCCATGTGTGAACCTCCACTTGTCTAAAGAACAGTAAGATATAGTACGCATGGAGCATTTTTTTTTCTTTAAAAAAGATAGAGATCTAATATTAAAATATTAACCGAGAGTACAAAACACCTGAAACATAATAAAAATTACATCAAGATTCTGATATCATCAAACGACCACTGCATCATTTGTTTTTCTTTCAAAAAATGATCGAGATCTACTATTAAAAAGTACATCAGAAGTACAAAGCACCTCAAACATAATAAAAATTTACTTCTAGATTTGAAATCATTGAACGATCACTGCTGCAGTCAGAATGAGCCGTCGACGCGTAGTTGTGATCGCTCCCCTACTAGAGTCGGCTTGACTTTGTCGATGACAAACAAGAAGTCTTCGTGCACATGGCCCTAAGGACCAGCGCTCCACATTTGTTACAGTTGAACCCTTCTTAATAGATCTAGAGAACCTGCCATCAAATCTTGCCACAAGAGAAGAAATCATAACTTCATTGTCCAAGGAGACGGCAAAAATCTATGTCGGAGCTCCGTCGACTACGTTCAGATGGACGAACTCGAGAGGATTGGAGTCGGGAAGACAAACTCGAAGAAGAAGCGTCGCCATCTGTTCGAGCGCCACACTTGCGAGGACTAAAAATACCATAACTGAAACTACTAACCGGAGTGGAGGCATCAAGATTCCCCTCCCCATCACCAGCTACCGGAACGGCAAGCAGTGGGGTGACGACTCCACAGACTTGCCGACGAAGCCCTTAGAGGAGAGTTTACCCTAACCGCCAAGGGATAAGGTAGGAAAAATGTTTGTGAGGAGATTTCATGTTTCTAGGTTTCTTATTTCATCTATTTTTTCTATTGAAAAGCTTTGAATTTTTTCCAAAAATATTCATGATATTTTTAAAATTTTAGAATATGTTCACAATATTTTATTTAACATTCATGCATTCAAAAAATGTTCATGATAATGAATATATATTCAAATTCTAAAAAGTATGACTTCTAGAAAAAAATCATGAATTTTTTATATGGTATAACATATATTTTTGCGTATTTAAAATGCTTGTGATTTTTAAATTTCAAAAATATGAAAAAGACCATCAAATTTTATAATTTCATAAATTAGAAAAACATTCAGTAATTTATAGTATGTTCCCAAATTTAAGAAAGTATTCATAAGTTTTAAAAACATATATTTTTGCGAATTATTAAATGAAGACATGAAAATAAGAAATAAAAATAATATGTAAATAAAAATAGGAAAACAAAAAACATATGGAGAAAAAAGAAAAGAGAAATCTAGTAGAGAAAAAAGAAAAGAAGAAACCTAGTAAAGAAAAAAGGAAAAGAAGAAACCTAGTAAAGAAAAGAAAAGAAATAAACCGAATGGAACTTCCCAAAACCAGAAGGATCATCGTACATGACCAGCCAATCACGCCTCTGGGTTACCACGTTTGCTCGATCGCCTCCGCAAAAAATGTTCACGAATTTTATGTATGTTCCCAAATTGGAAAAAGTATTCATAAAAATTTAAATAATTTTAAAAATAAAAAATTAAAAAACTCAAAATCAAACATTAAAAAAGGTGATAGATAAAGAGAAAAATATAAAAGAAAGAAACGAAAAAGAACCTCCGCAAAACAAAAAGGGTTATCCTACATGGCTGGCCCAAATTCCATGTTTTTCCGTGTTTGCTCAACCAGTTCTGCGTTATGCACGGAATATGCATCACGGCGCGGTGAAATAGATTATGAATCACGACATCGTAAAATATAGTATGAATCACGACGCAGAATATGAATTCGTGTTCGGAGGAAACAGAGAATTATTTTCACAGGTTAAAATGCTGCAGTAAAATGCGCGTTACTCTCTAGTTGATAGTAAGCTCGCTAGAATTGAAGCTCTCTTATGTGTCAACAGTTATGGTAGAAAGAAATGATAATTAATTTTATGTTCCTAATTGTGTCCCACTCGGCTGTTTTGACCCTCGTTTTCAAAAACACCTGGTTCTGCCCACTTCGCTCCGCTTTTTGCTCTTTGACCATTTGACTGTCACTTTGAAATTTTTATCGCAAATTAATATTAACTCATGAAGATACAATTAAGATATCAAAATATGAAGAAAACATCACATATATGTGCATGTCATTTGTATTCACGACATAAGTGTTGTTTAAACCACACAAGGTTACTATTATTACTAATGTTATATTAAGCCTAAAAATGTTTGACCAACAATTTTTTCATGAATGAAAATGACATGCACATATAAATATAGATGACGTTTTTCTGAACATTTTGATATCTTATTCACATGCTTCTAAGTTAATATGAATTTGTTATGAAGTTTTGAAAGTGACGGTCAAATGGTCTAAAGGTGGTCAAATGGCAAAAACATAAGAGGAGCGAAGTGACTTGGGCAGAACCGTGTGTTTTTGGAAACTAGTGCCAAAACACACTAGAGGCATAAAAATAATTATCCTGAAAAAGAACAATTCTTTAGAACACAACATTCGAGTCTATGCCAACAATACCAACTACTACATACATGACAACATGGCAAAAATAAAAAATCACACACATAATGGCATGGCAAAATTTGCACTAAACAAAGAATAGAAGAGCATGGCACAAAAACTATATCACACACATATGATCCAAGGAAAATACATCCTGGCCAAGATACTGAAAGAATGGCAAATATGATCCATCACATACACAAAGATGTCATGACAAAAATCTGCATTACACGACCATCAGGGGAGAGTCATGGCAAAAATCCAAAATCAGACACATATAGAGACATTGTAATTGTACATTAAAACCAATATCAAAGAGCATGGCAACAATCTCTGTTCCAATAACCATTTGGATAATGGTCCAATATTAAATTTGGCATTCACCCCTAATGACTTTAGCACGCATCGACAGAAATTTGGGGCAAAATTTTGCGGGGAAAATTGTCCTTAATGAATAAAAGATTGCCGTCGCCGCCAAATGCACAAGACACCTAGCGGCCATGGCTACAACGCTCGTCACCGTAGCACAGAATCCAACAAGTGTTGCGTCCCTCCCTGCCACGAGGACTACAGCGGCTATGAAACATTGGCACAATACTGAAGCAGGGGCATGCATAACTAAACGCCGTTTGTCGACGGTACTCGAATCACTGGCGAATACAAAGCATCCACGCAGACGAGCGCTTGCTGAACGAAGCGCAAGAGTAGAAAATACAAATGGGGAACTGCGGTGAGTGGGTTAATAATCTTGACATAAGTCCAACATCAATTCAAGGAAACTAAACAAAGGCTTGAAGCTGGCTCAAATTAGCTGAATATTTTAACTGAAATGTAAAATTACCCATTTAAAATATTGTATTCGAACTGTTAGAAGCGAAAGCTATAGCCGGCTCACACACACTACACACAATTGGGGAAATAATTACATCAAAAATCCCATTTTTATTAGAGCATCTCCAACAGGCGCCCAATATCAGCATCGCGCCTAAAAAATCGCAAGTTTAACGCGCGCGGAGCTAGAAATAACACTCCAGCGGACGCTGTATAATAGAGCACGCCCTAAAAAATGTTCAACGCGCACGAAGAAACTGGACCCGAAGCCGTATATTTGGGGCGTGAGCTTCAACGCGCCGAACATCCCACGCATGCGCGCGCCCGCCCGCCAGCCTCCTCGCGTGCGCCCGCCCGCCTGCCAGCCTCCTCGCGTGCGCCCGCCGCCGGCCTCCTCGCGTGCGCACGCCAGCCCGCCAGCCGGCCACGGCCACGACGGCGGCATGGGCCGGAGGAGCGCGGCCACGGGCGGCGGGGCGTGGGCGCGGCCAC